TCATCGTTTGTAAATACCCAGTTTGAGCGCGACGGCGTCTGACTGTTTCACCAACTAGTTGCCGACTTCACATTTTCATATAACACCAGATCCTCAGTGAGGTTGAAAAACCGAGCTTTGGTTGAGTTTTCACCTCCAATATATGTATGTTCCGCGAAATTAACGTTACGAAGATTGAAGTCCCCTAGAATCAGGATATGAGTGAATCCGAGGCGCGTAGAGCGGGGTAGTCCTTCCAGCATACGACTATCATACTCGATGTCAGCAGTGAGCTTCCTGTAGATGACCCCGACTAGACATCTCGAGGTGGTAGACAATCTTACAGAGCACCACACGGATTAACCGGGACTGATAAACTCTTGTTTGTGCGCTTGATGTACTTCCAGGCGTGATCGTAAGTATAAGGGCACTCCACCCCCAATTTCTGTCTTTCTGTCATTGCGAAACAAAGACATACCAGGTATTGCTAGCTCCTGGTCCGTAAACTGTGATATCAAAGTTTCAGATATTCCTATGACATAAGCATTATTTGCATTGCTAATTTCACTTAGCCCATCTATTTTATTTGTTAAACTCGCGGCGCTCATGTATAAGCAGTTCATGCTTTCAATTTGAAGCGCGTGAGTTCCTCCTTCCTGTTCGTCTGTATGAGCCTCATGTGAATAGACAGGTAGCCTACCTATACAAGATTTTCCGAGTTGATAGTCCCTGACCTTTGCACGTTTTTGTATGATCAAAACAGTCCACAAGTGGAATGGTCAGCTTCAACTTGCCTTCGCACTTGATCCTGGCGTCATGTGGTCTATCCGGGTGTATATGGATTCCAGTTCGCAACCAACGTCTGTACCTTGGCATCATGATGTCAGACTAATAAAATCCGAGCGTCAGGAAAGTTAATGCTTTACCTTGCCTTTCATTACCTTTTAACAGGCATTAAGTGAATGAGTGACTTTCCAGTGTCCGAACAATTGTCATTAGAAATTCTGCCACTCACCTAGCTTTTCATCACTAGATTTATCGGGACTATATTGATAAAACAACAACTAACACAATATTAGATATCACTTAAGATCTAAAAAATACTTAAGCAACAATACAGGCGAGAGAAAATTTGACTGGTCTATAGTAACGTGACATTTACATATTGGACATTGTCCCTTCAGATGAGTTACTTTTAACTTTGTACGAACGTGAGGTTGCTGCGTATCTTGTTTTCATGATTTTGTTGTGCATTATCCACCCCTATGGAAACGAGAATGTGTTTGTTAGTTAGTAAATCAGGCTACGGTAGTCCTTTTAAGTTCATTTAGCAAGGATTAATATGGGTCAATAGACCTATCCATACTGCTGAAGATTTATTGCTATGCCTAAATGACATTTAGTTTAGCGCATATAGCTCCTTTCTTGATATTTCATTATTTCAGATTCAGGCCATGCTTGAGTTAGCGAGTTTCCTTTTTAGTCTTCATAAAGTTTCCATCGCTCTTGAAAACCTTCGAATACATGTGTATTCGTAAAATACTTTACGTTCCTTAGTAGGATGATAGAACCTATGTAACAGCAGTCTGATCACTAAGTTTACAAATCGCAATATGTGATCGATCAGGTCGAGGGACGATATTTGTTCATGGGACCACCGAATAAATGTCAGAAATGTGTATAAAAGCGTAATATTGAGATGGTATCTCTAGAAGGACAGAACTAATGATGTGGCAGTTTCATTTTGGTGTAGCACGAAATCACAATAGTTCAGATTCGCTTATTCTTAGTCATTGGTCCTCTATGGCATTTTGTATATGACAATCTGAACTATATTCGTACGTCTGATTTTTTGTACTATATTGGTTAGTGCTAAGTAAAATTGTCAACAATGTTTCTCTTTTATGGTTGCGTTTTCATATAGTTTTTGTGATTTGGAGGTGTTAGGGGTCACTAGTATTTTATCACGAGATTCTTATTGCTTGCACTAACCTGTACTCTTGGCAATGCAGTGCACCCAGACATGTGTGTGGACTTTTCATCACGTCAATTATTATCGCTTCCCGTTCCGTGTTCTTAATTTCTGTTTGGTGAAGGCTCTGACTACCTTAGACAACAGTACAAGCGTGTTTGGGATGGAATTCTCATCCTCCAAATGCTAACTATTGCTTTAGAACTGGCCTTCATCAGCGCCTAAGTTAAAGCTTGGCGTGTCAACCCCTTTATTTGGAAGCCCTGTCAGTGCTGATGTCTGGCGGAATCTCGGCTCAAATTCAGAAAGCCCGGTTACCTTTGCCAACTTGTGTCACTTGCAGCGTAGGCAAAATATCCGTGTTCCGACCAAGGGATGAGTTCGCTCCGTTCTACTTTACGGGTATGAAACATTACCAGTAAGAATGGCGGATGTACGTAGGTGACTGGTTTTCGATTATAAGTGTCTTCAAAGCATGCCTCGTGCATTTTAAGACCAATGAGTTAGCAGTGCCGGGCTTAACCATAAGGCATTAGGTAGGGATGGAGAGTCGACTGATGGTGGTGAATGTTGCGTATAACTAACCGTCACCTACTTCCAAAGGTATTGTCTGGTGTAGGGGTAGGGTGGAGAAAAGTTAAAGGTGGCTAAACCAAAACATGACACAAGTTTATGAACTCACTGATAATTGGACTGAACTATGGTAACAAGTGTAGACCACCTGGTTGGGGTCCGCATGACTATCGTAACCGATGGTTAGAGACCGAATGGCATGACTCAGAATCGTTTGCAATTTTATTATTTATTTATTTGAACACATAAATATTGGTACAAAGGGGCACCATATATATAGGTGCCACACAATAATGAATGTGAAGATATAAAGAATGTAAGGTGCGTATAAGAAAAAAGAAGTACAACAATGAACAGAGATCAGTGTATGATAGTAAAATAACAATAATGGGAGGGTCAGTTCAAATAGCAAAAGTGCTGCCGCAGAGAATTCTTCCACTTACGTCATTTTTTATGAAGAAAGTAAAATAGTTACAGCAGAATCGCCACGGGCTTTTATTCTGAGCTATATGTAATAACGTCTCTAGCCACTGTGTTGCACCATCTCTAGGATCCTAACCAGAGATTCGTGAAGGACAAACAGGAGCCAGTCCCGTACAGCTTTCTTTCACACCACGACACCATGTCGTACACTGACAACCTCCCCGCTTTTTCCGTCTCAGCGTCGTCAGTCAGTCAGTAACAACGTAGAACTTCGTACGTACGTACATCAGTTCGAGTTGTCATACCACATTAGCACAGAGATGCACTTGTCGATTCAAATCCCATAGTGGTAGAGGTAATAAAAGTATAAGCAGTAATCGGGAAGATTAGGGTTTGGAGATGTTATTTATAGAGTATAATCCAGTGAAATAAATTTGGAAAGAGGGAAAAAGGGACATGAAGAATTCAGAAGATTAGAATTTGAGAGAACACAGAGAGTGGATGCACCTGCGCCATTGCAAACGATTTTGAGCCATGTCATTCAGGGTCTCTAACCATCGGTTGCTATCATCTCGTGGTCACCAACCAGGTAGTCTACACCTACCAACATGACTCAGTTCACTTGTCAGTGACTTCATGGACTTGTGCCATGTTTTGGTTTGGCCGCCCCTAGCTTTCTTCCAACCTACTCCTATACCACTGAACATAGCACGTCGAGGCAGTCGGTCGTTGGGCATACGTAACACGTGTCCCAGCCATCTCAACTGATGAAGTTTCACTACTTCATCAATTGATTTGCCATCCTTACCTAGTACCCGTTTCCTAACAACTGTGTTACTTACTCGATGGTCCCATGATATACGAGCAATGTTTCGGAGACACCTATGATCAAATACTAGTAGCCTACGGATATCCTTTACTCTTACCGGCCATGTTTCACTGCCATAAAGTAGGACGGAACGAACTGCTGCGCAGTAAACACGTCCTTTGGTTGATAGACGGATATCTCGCCTACTCCATAAATGACGCAAGTTGGCAAAAGCTAGTCGAGCCCTCTGTATCCGTGCTGAGATTTCGTCACACACCAGACCACAAGGGCTGATGAGACTTCCAAGATAAGTGAAGCGGTCGACACGCTCAACTACTTCACTCCTTATCATTAGTTCGGGTGTCGATGTAACCCAATCCTGAAGCAACATTTTGCATTTCGAGGGAGAGAATCTCATCCCGAACATCCCTGCATTATTGTTTAGAGTGGTCAGAAGACTCTGCATTTTGTCAGCGTCTTCACCAAATAAAACTATGTCATCTGCATATTCTAAGTCAACAAGTGAACCTCCCGGTAGAAGTTCAACCCCTGGAAATCTAGATGAGGAAAGTGTTATCTCTAGAAGTACGTCCACGACAAAGTTGAACAAGAATGGGGAGAGTGGACAGCCCTGACGAACACCACTTGAGGTAATCAATTCTGATGACAGTTCGCCATAAGCTCTCACTCTACCAGTTGTGTTCGAGTAGAGAGCCTTTATAAGGTTAATGTACTTCTTTGGTACTCCTTTCAGTGACAAACACTGCCATAGAACCTCACGATCAACAGAGTCGAATGCCGCCTTAAGGTCGAGAAATACTACGATTGTGGGGCGTCTGAATGTGTGTCTGTGTTCTAGAACCTGACGTAGTGTGAATATCTGATCTATACAACCACGTCCAGGTCGAAAACCAGCCTGATTTTCTCTAGTCTGCTCTTCACGAGCTTTGATTAGGCGTCGAAGTATTATTGAAGCTAATATTTTAGACACTATATTAGTCAAACTGATTCCTCTGTGATTGTCACAAGAGGACTTTTGTCCTTTCTTATAGACTGGCACAATCAGTGATTGAGACCAGTCAGATGGGATTACGTCCAGTTCCCAAATTCTACCTAAGACCTCGGTTAATCTCATTGCTAATACTGGACCACCATCCTTAAAAATCTCAGGAGTAAACCTGTCAGGGCCTGCTGCTCTCCTTCGTTTCAGATTTCCTATGGCTTTTTCAACTTCGTAAAGGGACGTAATACACGACGTGAAATTCTCTGGTACGACACTCGAAGAACATGTCAAAGCCACTGAAGTCGATGTTTCAAGATAGTGACACCAATTGGATTATCGTCTCTGTGCCCAAACACATGATGCTGAATTTCTGCATTACTAACATGATGTTGCCACTGAATGTCAACAATCCTTCGGAGACAACGATGATCAAACACAGAGAGTTGTTTAACATCTTCAACTCGGAGAGGCCAGGTTTCACAAGCATAGAGCAGAACTGCTCTCACCGACGCGTTGTAGATCCGACCTTTTACAGCCAGACTAACATCACGAAGGCGCCAAAGATGGACCAGATTGGCATAAACCGCTCTGGCTTTCACTATACGTGCATTGATCTCATCACTTACGCCACCACTAGCACTTATGCAGCTACCCAGATACACGAACTTCTCGACTACTATCTGCTCACTGCCCAGGGTGAGCGCAGCTTCAGGGTCCTGCCAGTCTTGTAAAAGTACTTTGCACATAGGAAGTGCAAAGCACATACCATACTTACCGACACTAATTGCCAACTGATGAAGCGAGGATTGCACGGCTTGGGTATGACCACACAGTAAGACAATATCATCCGCATACTCAAGATCGAGAAGTCTTTCTTCAAGCAACAGATCCACACCGCCATTACTTACATTCATCAGAGCTGTCCCCAGAATGTCATCATTGGCAAAGTTGAAAAGGAATAGTGAGATTGGACAACCCTGCCTAACCCCACTGCTCGAATGGAACAATGGAGAGATGGTTGTATGCCCTCACTCTGCCTGAGGTGTTTGTATATAGGGCTTTTAAGATGTTAATAAATTTCTCAGACACACCCTTCTTCAATAGACAATCCCAGAGAACAGTCCTGTCCAACGAATCGAAGTCAGCCTTGGTATCAAGAAACAATACGATTGTTGACCTGTGTTGGTGGAGGTATACCCATTCTTTGTTTTTCCCCCAGATTTTAAGGCTTCTTAATTCTTCATAACTTTTTTTGTCTTTATTTCACTTCGTACTAAGTTTTATGTCGACAAATCTGTATGTTAAACTTTTTAAGAAAGTAGATTATAATAATGTAGCTGTAGATTTAGAAGGATTTTCAATTACTTGAGTGGAAGTTAAGCTAAGAATGATTATGTGCACATGAATAAATCTTGATTGATTCCACCTCATACCATCCTAACCGACTTATGGACATTAAAAAGAATTTATCTGTCAGCTGAAGTGGGGTGTTTAAGTTATTCATAACCAACATTCCTTTTTTCGTTTAGGTCTAACCCCTCCTAAATGAGAGTAATAGATGCTGAAGGTGACGAACAATTTTAACATTTTGTATTATGTGCTTGTTCTGTAAGTGTAGTTTTGAAGAAAACATTTTACTTGTAACCTATGCTTTGGAAAATTATTCACTATATGGAACGATTTACAATCTTTCCTAGTAATAATTTTGTTTTCATTCAGGTATTTATTTATTTCTGAGTGGCCATAAAGCCTCATTCTCGCAGCCGCTAGAAAAATACTCATCAGAATGACCAGCTCTAACTCTGATGGTAGTTTTGTTAATTTCAGAGTTAACGTTTAATTAGATCGCAATATTTTCGTCTCGCCGTTTTTGAATTTTGACCCATCTATTTTGGTCTCGGTAAGCAGCATGGACTTGATAAATTCATTCTCAGAATCCCGAAGAGCAGTTCATCTTTCCCGAAGGGGAGAAACGTCGAGGTCGCTTTGAGCGATCGTTTTCCGAAATCGGAGCTATGGTTATTGGGGGTAACTATACTACAGTCAAATAAGTGATGTTTAGGTGCATCTGTTGGGGGGATCAAAGGATTATACAGCGGTTTTAAAGATTCAGAAATAAAGAATCTTCCGACACTTGCTATCAGACGAACTCAAATGCTGAATCATCTTACTAAATCCGGAGCAACACTTGCTCAGACTGCAGGTTCGATAGGGTTTATATATGCTGTGGCAGATTTCTTGATCTACAAATTACGTGGTAATGCAGAAGATGAGATAAATACAATGGCAGCAGCTACGACTACCGGTTTAGTATATACTTCTCCTGGTAAGCGAATTAATAATTTTTTCTGAAACAATCTATTGCTGATAGGTGCTTTTTATACGTCACTTGCTTTATTTGGTCATTTTCATCGTACCACAGAGACGTCTGCGATAACATTCTAACCCTTATTGTTTCTGGGAAAATAACATCACATTAAATTCGGAGCACCACTCGTTGTAGTTGTAACGCTAACTCTAGAAGTCACCAGCGAATTCAGCTGATAGTTTGCAACTAGTTATTAAATCCCCAATTATGGCGTTCTAACCAGCTGACAAAATTGAGAACAATGACCCATTTCATCCAGGTTCTCTTGTTCTGAAACACCATGCTAACAAACATTATAGTAGATATGTATATAACTATACCTTGTTTGTTTAGTGCATAATCAAGAAATTGCGTCGTTCAACTATTGTTGTTCTCTTCAGTTGAATACATTGACGACATTCCGTTTATTTACAGACATTTTGTAAGAAATTGAAAGTGCGTTTCTTACAACGAAATTTTAGGAAATAACTTTTACTTCAAACTATAAGCTGCCAAGATTTGTTGAAACCACACCAAATCAGATGTGAAAGTTCATAGGTTTCAGACAAAACATGTTGTCAGTGAAACGTATTTATCTAATAGTTTCAACACCAACCATTTTGTAATTGAGTTGTTTTCCTTCTTAAAATTATGTGTAACCGTTTTCAACCTATCTGCTTAGGACCCAGCAGTTTCCACTAATTTACAGGCTCGCTTCAGAGCTTGTATTATGTAAGCATACCATGTAATCACAATAATTCGAAAATGTTCACGTAATACATTAGTTTCATGTGGTACGTATCAGAACATTACGAAGGAAATGATCCGAAATTGACCCTAAATTAAGAAATAAGTCTAGAAGGAAAGATACAAAAAGGTCATGTAACGCTTACAATTCTGAAGATAGAATAAACGAACTTATGGGGGATTTCGAACTAAACCAGACCACAATTTATAACCACTTGATCGTCTAAATTTGGGGATCTCATCAACAACTGTTACATTCCTTTACCACCCAAATGGTAGTTGGGTAGTTTTGTGTTGTAATGTCATTTGTCTTATTTACGAACCCAATCATCTACTTGAGCGTGAAAACCAAGAGTCAGTAGGAAGCTTTTATTAGCCAACCCGAATCAATATAAATACACAAACTCAGTCATTAATGTATGTATGGCCCTCTGTTTGTTAAATCAGATTTTCGATCGATAGCATCTGTCTCCATCGGTTAATTAAACCAAATCTTGACAAGTGGCATGAACCCGTCGAAATTTTCCACTTATCATTTGCCATTAAAATCACATATTTTTTTGACTTAGTCTATCACTTGTACTTCCTTGCTTTCTAAACTGAAATAAGCGGAACGACTTTCGGATCTATGACCAAGTTGAATACTTTAAACACTGAACCAGTAACCTCGTGCTACTTTATTCTTCACAGTTATGGCAAATATTAATCGTATGCTAAGAGAAAAGTATCGTCACTTTCCGAAATTTCATATCTGTTTTCTTAATAAGTTTTAGTGTGTCAGATTAAACTGTTTGAATATTTCCTCTGCATCTGCCCTTTTAATCTTTTCGCGTTATTAGAAAGGCAGAATTGTAGATTGTGATAAGTAGTAATTTTAGAAAACATTTTAAAACAGATGTGATCGTTTTAAGAACTAAATTAATTCTCTTTAAACCACTAGGAATGTTTAAACCAGGTGGCTGGAAACGTTGCGGCTTTGGTGGGGTTGCTGGGTTTGCTGTTGGTGCGATCGCTGTTACTGTTACAAGCTGGTCTAGAATAAAACATATGCTTGGCGGATAAGTGACACTAATGTAATTTTAATTATGTACATTGACATTTTATCTAGTACCCGAAAAAATTACTTTTTAAATATATCTTGAATTGTTATCCTTGTTCTCAATAATGACATTTATAAGAAATACAATATTGTTTTGACCCTACAACTTTGCAAAAATTAAGAAATTCGAATTTCTCAGATTATACACTTAAATTATTTGCCTTGGAAAATACTGTAAAAATAGTTTGGAACAGTGTAAATGCTCAAATGGAATAAGTAGCTTGAGTTCTAAAATATGTTTTTTGAGTCTGATATAGGATTTATACGTTGCTTCAAATGAGTGGTTCTGTGGCAGTGTCTGTCATTGAACGAAAGGTGTATCTCAGAAGTAAATTAACCTTGTGAAGGCTCTTTACTCAAAAACTACCAATGGAGTCAGAGCTTATGGCGAACTGTCATCTGATTTTGCAACCTCAAGTGGTGTCCGGCAAGCCTGTCCACCATCTCTATTTTTGTTCAACTTTATCATAGACCTACCGCTGTAAATAACGTTCTCGTCGACTGAATTTCCGGAAATTGATCTTTTGTCAGGAGGCCCACTTATCGACTTAGAATACGTAGATGACATAGTTCTGTTTGGAAGTTCAGTCAGCCCTAATGGGTTGGTGTCTGACGAAATCTCTGCACGGATTCGAAAAGCTCGTTTGACTTCTGCTGACTTACGTCACCTATGGCGAAGGTGAGATATCCGTCTACCAATTAAGGAACGAGTAAACTGCGCAACAGTTCGATCTGTTCTACTTTACGGCTGCGAAACGCGACCATTAAGAGTAGAAGATACTCGTAAGCTACTACTATTTGACAACAGATGTTTTAGAAATAATACTGGCATCTGTGCTCACCGGGTAATAGTGAGGTTAGATGTAGGGTATTGGGGAATTGTTATAACCTGTGACTGCAGATTAGAGGGAAGTGACTCATCGATCGGACCAAAGACGCTTAAACACGTAAGAACGGCCTATAGTTCTGATTGGTCTCGCTTCCCTTTCTAGCCCAGCCAATTGAGTCCAGAACGCAAGTCTCAGCCTCTGAGATATGAATCGTTATATTTCAAGCATACTCTGTTTATATACCAATCAAGCAGACCACATCGCATTCTTAGGATTATCATACCATATTGTGCGAGTACTAATAATCTCCTTGGTTGTTTGAGGTTCAGTAAGCAAAGTGACGTTAGAACCTATCACCTAGTTAGAAGTCTTGTACCTAAATCAGTTGCAACATTGCTAGTTATAGGAAAAAAGATGAGATCGTGATAATCTGTTCTGTTTCTATACAAAACAAAGATTGAGTCTAATTCCTCATTCTAAAGAAGTATAAATTGATTTTTTATTGCCACACACAACAAGATGAGGCTGTATACATTTATCTACTTGTTTATTTATCATAATTTGCAGAATCAACAAATATAACAGCAATAGAAATAGAGGATAAGAAAAATAGTAGTTCATCTTATATCGCACAACAAGGCTACACCTCTTAATACCCAATGATCAACTGATTTGTTAGGCGGACAACGTAAATAAAGTGAAGTAACATAGGTTAGGTTTGTTCTACATGGTTTTTTATACACTGGACATACATAGAAGTTTTTCAGCATTTCTTTGGATATCTCTCTGTCCTTAGATATATCCACAGCCTGTATATGAATAACCGGCATTGGTTGATATAATATTTTTGGTTTCGATTCAGTTAGACGCAAATTCTTTTGGTCAAATTCAGCACCTTCTAAAAATAATCCATGAATATATGCACCTTCAGTCGGTGGACGTTGAATATCATCTTTCATAAATCTAGTTACGTCATTCCATAATGTAACTGTATCCAATGCCCAACCTTTATGGCTACGTGTTACCTCTTGTCTGATTGCTGTAAGAAATCCTTGTGGATTGAAAAAACCTGTCATCCAAAAACATACCGGGCGTCCATTGTATAACCATTCATAAAACTGATGATTCCTTTCAATTAATTCGGTAA